GTGTGTGTCATCCCTCCCTGGGTTGCATGTATGGATGTTAAAATCTTTTCCCACAGAAGTCACAGATTTGCCCTTAAACCCACACTGGTCACCTTCTGATGAATGAAAGATAAAAATATTTTAGTTCTTACTATTTGCTAAGAGGTTGTTCAGGTTTAAAGATAGGAGATTTAAGTGTAGTCTAGACCACACAAGGACTAACACCAATCCTCTGGTTTGCCAGTGGATCTGGTCCTTTTTCTCTAGAATGTGTTGTACTGGACAGTTGAGGAGGGAACAAGGATTCCATCAGTTTTTAATTCTGTGCTTCTTATATGGAGTATTGCCTGCGAGGACCTGAATTTTAAAGGATATTGGAAATGTTTCCAGAACCAGTGCCAGCTCAGTAATAGGTCCAAACAGTCACAGATGCAGGGAAAAAAAAGACTTGTGCCTTAGGAAAACTGTATAAAAACTGCTTAAACCCTTGGTGCATACACCTCCAGGAAAACAGAGCCCAAAATCACTGAGATGTTTGACATGCAGTCAATTAACATTTCGTCATTCACGTCACATCTTCCTTCATTTGGCTCCAACTAGCAAAAAAGTCCAGTCATAAATTTTCACATCAACACAATACATTTTGTATTACATTTTTTATTTATGTAGTAATGCAATCCACACAAATGACAAAAAGATGTGCAAAAGTACAGTCCCTGTTTAAGAGTAGGTTAGGCCTGACACTGTTACTATAAGCTGTTTACTGCCACGGTATGGGATACCCCATACAGTACATCACTATTTATGGCTTTGAACATAATTTCCCATCATAAATTAGACTGTTCCTTCCTTTTTAGCTAACATAACTTATCAGATATCAGAGATGCAACTGCCATTTTAGCCTAAAATACATTCATTTATATTACATACATCATTCATATTACTGTGGAAAGTTCACAATCTTTTTGCAACTACTGACATATTAAGGAAACTCAAATGGCTGTTCAAGTCACTTTCCACCTTTGCCCCAGACAGAATCTACTGAAAAGTTATAGCCTGAAGATATGATTACATAGACAGATAGAAGACTATACTCAGCCAATCTTGACATACAATATAAAATAGCTGAGGATAAAAACACAGTAAGGCTAAAAGCTTAATTCTATTGTGGTCATTACAAAGTTTGACTGATCTTGAAGTCAGATAAAACAAATTTATAAACATGCAAAACACCAAGTCAAACACAATATTTCTTATCAAAAATGTTTTGGCCCTTTTTGTTCCAAAAAGCTGCAAAAGGATGCATTTCTGTCCATGAAACTCCCAAATCTAACAGGAATAGCAGCATTGGTTGTTTGGAGAAAGGCAGTGACACACTCACTTCAACTGAAACTGAAGAGGAGGCCACCATCATGCTGTATCTGTTTTGAAACCACCATCAATTAAATTATAGATCTATCCAAATTTTTTGTTTTATTTCTGGCTCACCAATCGTCTAGTTCCAGTTAATGTTGTCTATAGGTGTGATCAACTAAGAGACCAGTAAACATCTGTCTCACCGTTCTTCTGTCTCAGTTATCTAGATTGTTCCTCTCACCTGCTTTTTTTGCTCGTTGTCAGGAGGAGGTTGCCCTCTCATGAAAAATAAATATTTGCTGTTTGGTCAAATGTCCAAAACAGACCTTTAGTGTCTCTCTGTCAGGAACAGTGGAAGTAGTGCGACTTTGGATCTGTCTCAACACCCACACAGATGGTCTTGAGCAGTTACAGTATGTATGCATTCATGTCTCTAAGTGGTAAGTGAGTGTGTCCCACGTCAGAAACATGACGTAACGTGATGTACAACTCATAAAAAGAACTCCCAAATATTCTGTCCAACATCAGTCCAGATGTTGGTAGTAGGACCAACAATTATCAACCCAAGGATGCTGAAATTGGTGGAATGCAAACACAACATTGTTGTTGTCATTCATGTCCAAAAATGTATACTTCTTGATAGGACTAATAAAATAATTATTTTATAATAGTCGTATTTTGACATTGCCATCATAAATGTTAAATATCCCCGTATTTGTCATTTTGAGAACTGTCAGACTGAAACCAACCCATTAAAATAATCTCATGTCTCTGATACAGCAAACCTAACTGGTGTGAGATAATTCAGCTTCTACTTCCTGTTATCTGTGCTTCTCCGTGTAGCTGAGCCTTGTATTTTTAAAAAATAATTTCTTTATGAATGCAGCAAGAGGACAGACCCTTTGTATCATTTCAAGTTACAGCCCAGGTTATAATATTGCAACACCTGTTAAGGAGGAAGCTAAATTAGATGATGGGACAACAGAGTGTGTGACTTCGACATGGGTGGCCACTATGTGTTTCCCATTTCCTACCAAGAACCATGGTTTAACCTTTTAATCTTTTCTGTACCTATATTAACCATAGCAGAGACAGATCAGATAGAGATGTAGAAACTGTAACAGTGGGTTTTGGAAGGCACTGACCTAACTGGATTTAGGACTGCTGATAAAAGGTGCCACATGTAATAGCACTAATCATTCACTGTGCTGGGCATAAGGTATCATTTGAGCTAGGAGCATCATTTGCATTTTTACCCTACAGGGCTGCTAAATTTTACATATTATACACATTATAAAATGATTTTCATTTTTCAATCTGGATAATTAAAGGAGAACCACTCTGCTTAAAGCTCCTCTTCCAGCTAAATAAAAAAGCAACAGAGCCATGACTGTAGGAGGAACGTAACATGGAGAGTCAGGGAACTCAGGGAGACTGACTGACCAGCACTTATGATGTGTTTTCACTTTCAGAACCTAACGACTGGTATACCCTGTACTTTGCCCCGCATAATCTCCAATGTTGACATGGACTGTCCTGCTTTGTTTTTCCACTGTATTTTCTGTGTTGTTCTCTGTTCAGAGGAGGGAGGGGCTGCTCCTCTCTCACACTTAAGGATCACTTCACAGTGCAACAATCAGCCAGTAACAAAGACTGTATGTTATCAAACAGCTGCTG